ATTGCCTGCAGACTGCGGGGATTGCCTGCAGACTGCGGGGATTGCCTGCAGACTGCGGGGATTGCCTGCAGACTGCGGGGATTGCCTGCAGACTGCGGGGATTGCCTGCAGACTGCGGGGATTGCCTACAGACTAGCAAAGATTTTTTGCTGAAATACGAATCAGCCTAAAGCCGAGTATATGCCGAACGTTCCTATGAAGAATCTCATCTGAACATTCCGTAATGCCATCAGAGACTGGACAAATGTCGTTCGAAATTTCGTTTGGTTTTAACATTCGATTTTGGAAATGGAAACATTTTCCATCCCACTCCTTCCATTTTTCTTCGTCACTGTGGTCGAAAATAATTGGTGATTTAACCCTATTTGCAATTAGAAAGTCGAAGGAACGTTCTGAAAGCGGTTCTGAATCAAATTCAAACCATGTATGCTCAGCTTTACAATCCGGAAATCTGGTGCCATCCCATAAGATATTGTTTAAAGCCAAGCAAAAATAAGATTGAATCCATTTATGTGTCCATTAAAAAATGATTCAAAGCTGCACTTCGGGATCAGTAAAAATTGCCCTCATACTTGGAGCTTCCCATACTAAAGATGGCTCACTGCTGCGCTCTCTCCTTGTGCAGGGTGACTGGTCTAGTCTCCGCCCCCTTCCTGTAATAAAGACCGCTCACTGCTGCTCTCTATCCTTATGCAGGGTGACTGGTCTTGTCTCCACCCCCTCCTGTAATAAAGACGGGTCACTGTTGCTTTCTCTCCTTTTGCAGGGTGGCTGACCTTGTCTCCACCCACTCCTGTAGCTTTCTGCTGGCAGCCTGTAGTGGGAGGGGCCAACTGGGTGCCTCCCATAGCTCTGCTCTTTGAACAGGCAGCACAGTGATGATGTCACTGCTACTTGTACAAGATAAAATCTGGGTTTACAAAGGCTTTTGGTGCGTTTATATCTTCTGTTGCTATTGAGGAATGTATTTAAAGCCCATCTATGGGCAAACAAAAACGCTAGCCTTGCAGTGAGACTACCCCCCTCACTCCAAGGGATAAGTGCTCGCTGTTGTCTAAGGGAATGGAGTCAAGCAGATTTAATTATCTGATCCCCTCTGCCGTCTGCTCCCTTAGGGCTGCAAGACCGGTCCCTGCAGCCTCTTCTTCCCTGGGCTCTGGCAGTCTAAGGACTACTGACATCATCAAATCTAATGCATCTTCCATAGACCTGCATTAGATGTGAGGACACCAAGAGACTTTCCACCAGCCAGGGCATCGTGGGAGAAGAGGAGAGTGCTGGCCGACAGAGAAGTGGGGATCAGGTACGTAGATCTGCTTTACCCCGGCCCCCTAGACAAAAACAAGCACTTCTTGTATTGTGGGGTAACCCTACTGCGAGGGTTTTTGATGTCTGCCCGTAGATGCGCTTTAAATGAAAAGTTTTGTGCCCGGAGTTCAGCTTTAAAGCCAAGCTCTAGGCCAGGGTTAGGCAACCTCGGTACTCCAGCTGTTGTAGAACTACAAGTCCCATGAAGCATTGCAAGACTCTGGTAGCCACAGGCATGACTTCTAGAGGCAAAGGCATGGTGGACTTTGTAGTTTTACTACAGTTGGAGTGCCAAAGCTGCCAAAATGAATGCAGCTCTGTAGTCATTAATACATTTCTGAATGAAAGCAATGTACAGTGGGGCAAAAAAGTATTTAGTCAGCCACCAATTGTGCAAGTTCTCCCACTTAAATAGATGAGAGAGGCCTGCAATTGGCATCATAGGTAGACCTCAACTATGAGAGACAAAATGAGAAAACAAATCACCTAAGATGGTATTGGCCCCTTGCAGTCCCTGTACAGCAGAGCTCAGCGAGGGAGAAGCAGCACAAGGAGCCAATCAAGTGTGCTGCATTGCAAGAAGCATGCTGACAGGAGGAAGGAACAGATGGAGGAAAGTGACAAATAGATGAGCTTGTCAGTGTGCTTCCCGAATCTGTCTCGGTATTAGCTGGATTAAATACATAACAGGGGTACAATGAGAGGACTTTGTTACTTTAACACATTTGCAGTATTTCCTGGATTGTATTAAGCCAGTTTGCTGACTGACTTGGGGACTTGTCAGGTATTTAATTCCTTTAATGAAAATGTCACAATTAATTTCATTCTTAATTATCTACGTCTGTTTAACGCTCGGGAACTGCGCATTGGGCCGTCCCTGGCAGAAGGAGCTGTGGTCTTTTTTTTTGTTGTCTCTTGCTTTATTTGAAGAACAGACCAAGATAATCATTGAAAGCTGACTGGAAGTCTGCACCAGTTTGAATTCTTGCACTCTGGAGAAAGGATTGGATTTCAAAGATTCATTTCATTATAAACAGCCAGAGCATCTCTGCAGCATCCTGTGCCTGGTGCTAATGCTGTCTCCAGGGCTTCCTCTAATAGGAGTCTGTCTTTGCCAAGCTGAGTTGCAGTTTTTAGGATGATCAGCAGAGAGGAGCCGAGTTTCAGCCGGCACCCCCTTTGCCATAATCAATACGTTCTACCGGTTTCAGCACTGGGGTCCTGGGTTCAATCCCTCCAGGGTCACTGAGTTTCTATTGTCTACCCTTGTATGCTTCCTCCCTCCCTCTGGGAGATTGAATTACACTATATTGCCAAAAGTATTGGGACACCCCTCCAAATCATTGGATTCAGGTGTTCCGAGAAATTTCCTTGCTACTAAATACTCCGCGCTCACCTGTTAGTGGTATTATAACAAAGTGGAAGCAACTGGGAACAACAGTAACTCAGCCACGAAGTGGTAGGCCACGTAAAATGACAGAGCGGGGTCAGAGCATGCTGAAGCGCACAGTGCGCAGAAGTCGCCGACTGTCTGCAGAGTCAGCAGCTACAGACCTCCAAACTTCGCGCGGCCTTCAGTTTGGCACAACAACAGTGCGTAGAGAGCTTCATGGAATGGGTTTCCATGGCCGAGCAGCTGCATCCACGCCTTACATCAACAAGTGCAATGCAAAGTGTCGGATGCCGTGGTGTAAAGCACGCCGCCACTGGACTCTAGAGAAGTGGAGACGTGTTCTCTGGAGTGACCAATCACGCTTCTCTGTCTGGTGATCCGATGGACGTGTCTGGATTTGGCGGTTGCCAGGAGAACGGTACTTGCCTGACTGCATTGTGCCAAGTGTAAAGTTTGGTGGAGGGGTGATTATGGTGTAGGGTTGTTGCTCAGGGCTTGGCCCCTTAGTTCCAGTGAAGGGAACTCTTAAGGCATCAGCATACCAAGACATTTTGGACAATTTCATGCTCCCAACTTTATGGGAGGAGTTTGGGGATGGCCCCTTCCTGTTCCAACATGACTGCGCACAAGTGCACAAAGCAAGGTCCATAAAGACATGGATGGGCGAGTTTGCGGTGGAGGAACTTGACTGGGCTGCACAGAGTCCTGACCTCAACCCGATAGAACACCTTTCGGACGAAATAGAGCCGAGACTGCGAGCCCGGCCTTCTCGTCCAACATCAGTACCTGACCTCACAAATGGTCTAACATTCCCATAGACACACTCCTAAACCTTGTGGACGCCTTCCCAGAAGAGCTGAAGCTGTTATAGCTGCAAAGGGCGGAGCCAACTCAATATTGAACCCTACGGACTAAGACTGGGGTGCCATTAAAGTTCATGTGCGTGTAAAGGCCGGCGTCCCAATATTTTTGGCAATATAGTGTATATATAAACCCAATTTCTAAGGGCTCCTTCACTCCAGGAGCATTGAGCTGCATTGATCAATGCAAGGGTGAATAGAAAACAATTGTTCTCTATGTGCCCTATTCACTCCGTAAATGTGCGTTCATAAAAATGGAGCTTGTCCAATTGGTTACACAGCACAATGCATGTCAACCAGCTGCGTGCATCACGTAAAGGTGAATGATGACAGCGTGTGCCCATGTGCGGGCACCCGGACCGTTCGGGTCGGCATGTAGCCGCATGCAGCGCCGTCCTTCCATAGGGAGCTACAGGCGGCTGCACGCAAGTACACGCAGCACCTGTCCCTCCCAGGAGCTGGTCTCTGGATGTGCACGCCTGTGTGAATGAGCCCGTAAGGTTATAAAAAAAATGTATGATATGTTGTAATTACGCATCGCACTGTCCCTATACAACGCACACCAGCCAGCGTGCGTTATAAGGACCACAATCATGTAAATATCCCACCGCACATCTGACTGATACATCCCTTTCTTCTCTTTATCGGATGGTGCCACATGCATAAGAGCTCATTCATATGGGCGCCATCTGTGTCCCGCTGGGGAGATTTCCCTTCACTTGCTGTGCAATAGCAACAACAGGAAGTGAGAGGAAATCCCTCCAAAGAGAAGGAAATACCTTGTGGAGCACCAGAACTAGTGTCCCCAATGGAAGGTTTCCTATCTATTCCTGTCCTGGTGCAACCCAAAATTTGGGATTTTCTTTCAGTGATAACGGTCACCTGGACAAATAGAGGGGGTGAATCTCCCTAACGGGGACACAGACAGCAATAGAACCCTGACAGGGGTTCTAATCCCTCTTCACTCTATCCAAAACTACAAATTAATGTTTTGCCTCCAGTTACACTTTAACCACACTTAGTATTCTATTTCTGTCTGTGTCTCTGTTGTGGATTTTCCATTACTTCCTGTATTGTTAAACCATTGTCACCATCACGGTTGAGTTGGAATCTTTCTAACAGGGACCCAGATGGCAAAAAAAAGAACTCCAAAAGTCAACAGGGGTTCCAATCCTTCCCTACTCCATTCAAAACCGAAAAAACAGGACAATTATTTATACAGTATGTCTTTTATTATGCCCATGCAGACGTATAAAGCATCTATTGGTCCTTGTACAGTTTGTTACAGTGTAGTCCACGGAAACCAATCAGAATCTTCCTTTCATGTTTTTGGGCATGCACTGCTGAATGTGATTGGTTGTTACTGACAGCACTGACCGTTCTTTCTTCACACTTGGAATGGATCTTTCTAATTGTATTCTTTCTTTCCTCTGTTGCAGGTATTCTTTCGGTAAGTGACCCGACCGGGCTTTATTCCTGTCTGTATGGCAACTGTAAGTGTGCAGCGATTGCATGGATCACACCTGGTGGGCAATTCATGAGGGAAACTCCGGTACAATAGTAATAAATACAGTTTAAATAGGAACTTTACCCGCACTTTGAAATAACAACAAAGACTCCTTTAGAAATGTTTAGTGATGACAATCTACAAACACATTTCTTCCCCAGTTTTCTCACAGCGGCCATTTTTACTAAGGGCAGGTTACTAGATCTTCCTTTTACTTCCTGGAACCCTAGCACATGTGACTAGGACTGTGCACATCATCTCAGGGGAGAAAAATGTCCTGCCTGGCTCTTACCGTTCCCTGCAGTCTCCTCTGCCTTACCTGCTCTTACTGTTCCCTGCAGCCTCCTCTGTCCTGCCTGGCTCTTACTGTTCCCTGCAGCCTCCTCTGTCCTGCCTGGCTCCCACCATTCCCTGCAGCCTCCTCTGCCCTGCTTGGCTCTTACTGTTCTCTGCAGCCTCTTCTGTCCTGCCTGGCTCCCACCGTTCCCTGCAGCCTCCTCTGCCTGGCTCTTACTGTTCCCTGCAGCCTCCTCCGTCCTGCCTGGCTCTTACCGTTCCCTGCAGCCTCCTCTGCCCTGCCTGGCTCTTACCGTTCCCTGCAGTCTCCTCTGTCCTGCCTGGCTCTTACCGTTCCCTGCAGCCTAGTGGTGGAGCTTCCGGTATCGGAAAGCCGGGCAGCGAATCATTACATGCTGCCCAGCTTCCTGATTGACCGGGAAGCCGGCTCCATGCTCCCTCATGAGGAGGAAGCATGGAGTCGGCTTCCCAGCCAATCGGGAAGCTGGGCAGTGTGTAATGACTCACCGCACGGCTTCCTTAGTGGCTGGGAAGCTGGCCAATCAGGAGGCTAGGCAGCAAGTCATTAGCCGCCCCCCAGCTTCCTGATTGGCCAGAAAGCCGGCTCCATGCTTCCTCGTCACCCGGTGATGACTGAGCATGAAGCCGGCTTCCCAGCTAATCGGGAAGCCAGGCGGCGAGTCTTTCCTTAATGGGACTTCCGGTATTGGTATCGGGGAGTACCGGAAAAAAAATATCGGTACTCATACTCCGTACAGAAAAATCGGTGTCGGCGCATCCCTAGCACCAATAGTTTGCGCAGTGCTTTACGACATATGGAGAGACAGTACAATTACAATACCATACAAAAGGATTAGAAGGACCCTGGTCCTGGGAGCTTACAATCTATACCTATTCTAAATGAATGTTTTTATACCCCCCGGAATTCAGCGTTAACAATTCTCGGTCGCTATGCCATTGACAAAAAAGTGTTAATCTTTTTTTTTTTTTGTCGCAGTGAAAGCTTATGTAAAACAATCTATATGTATTTTTAGTCTTGCAACATGTAGGTGCTTTTCTCCCAATCCCAAAACAAGACGTGTTTCAGTAAATCTATAAACAAGAAGCAGAAGTCTTTGTTAAGTTTTTTCATTTTGCAGACTTTTCATTAACTTTGCAAGTCTGCATGAATAAATTCCTGACATGTCACAATGTACGACGCCAGTAGAGTTTATCATCAAAGCTCCGCCTTTTACCAATAAAAAAACCAAACATCCTTGACCTCCAATCTAGTGACTTTGCATAGACAATGATAATGTCATCATCGGTCTGATGCGGGCAGAAGGAAGCATTTCTCTCCTTCCCCAGTGATCAAGATGGCGTCCATGCCAAACCATGTTACGAGTATGTGGTAACTTTACATGTCTACATGTAAAAATATGCAGCGGCAGTGCAGTTCTTTCAAAGGTTCTGTACTTTTTTTTAATTAGAATTTTGGCCCTAAGCTCCAGCCAGTGACTTTGCCTTGGCTGAGATGATGTCATCAGTCTGCTGCAGGCAGGAGACACATTTCCTCAGTCTCCTCTCCCCGAGTGATCAGTCTGCTGCAGGCAAGAGACACATTTCCTCAGTCTCCCCTCCCCCAGTGATCAGTCTGCTGCAGGCAGGAAACACATTTCCTCAGTCTCCTCTCCCCCAGTGATCAGTCTGCTGCAGGCAGGAGACACATTTCCTCAGTCTCCTCTCCCTCAGTGATCGGTCTGCTGCAGGCGGGAGACACATTTCCTCAGTCTCCTCTCCCCTTGTGATCAGCCTGCTGCAGGCAGGAGACACACTTCCTCAGTCTCCTCTCCCCTAGTGATCAGCTTGCTGCAGGCAGGAGACACACTTCCTCAGTCTCCTCTCCCCCAGTGATCAGCCTGCTGCAGGCAGAAGACACATTTCCTCAGTCTCCTCTCCCTCAGTGATCGGTCTGCTGCAGGCGGGAGACATATTTCCTCAGTCTCCTCTCCCCTAGTGATCAGCCTGCTGCAGGCAGGAGACACATTCCCTCAGTCTCCTCTCCACTAGTGATCAGCCTGCTGCAGGCAGGAGACACATTTCCTCAGTCTCCTCTCCCCTAGTGATCAGCCTGCTGCAGGCAGGAGACACATTTCCTCAGTCTCCTCTCCCCTAGTGATCAGCCTGCTGCAGGCAGAAGACACATTTCCTCAGTCTCCTCTCCCTCAGTGATCGGTCTGCTGCAGGCGGGAGACATATTTCCTCAGTCTCCTCTCCCCTAGTGATCAGCCTGCTGCAGGCAGGAGACACATTCCCTCAGTCTCCTCTCCACTAGTGATCAGCCTGCTGCAGGCAGGAGACACATTTCCTCAGTCTCCTCTCCCCTAGTGATCAGCCTGCTGCAGGCAGGAGACACATTTCCTCAGTCTCCTCTCCCCTAGTGATCAGCCTGCTGCAGGCAGGAGACACATTTCCTCAGTCTCCTCTCCCCCAGTGATCAGACTGCAACATTGTAACCCTGTAAACATTGAATTTCAACGTATAGATCGCTCAGTCCTCAAAGTCGGACAACACCGACCCCACCACGCCCTGCCAAGGACAAGCCCCCCCAGGGGTGCATCATCCAGCTATCCTGGACTCTTACGAGAATGATGGAGAGAACAGCGCCTGTTCTGCATTCAGGACCCACCCAATGGTAGAGAAAGACGGCATCACTTGAGAATTCCAATTGCCCATTGCTTGCTAAATGCCCATTGCTTATGACCCAATGCGGGAGAAATGTCATGTGGCCAGACTGAAGACTGCTAAAAAATAAGATATTTAGTCACAATTTAAAGAAAAGGTGGATGGGGGGCCCTGCCTGCAGTAGTTTTTTCTCCAGGATATGCACAAAATCAACCCTTGCATTGGGGCTACCACCTCACTGCAAGGGTTTACTGCTCATTTTGGTCTAGGGGTCGGCATTCAGAAGATATACTACATATGATCCTCGGTCCTGCAGCATAGGATTTTGCACAGACCTTGCATAGACATGATGACGTCACGAGTCCTTAGACTGCCGGAGCCTGGAGAAGAAGAGGCTGCCGGGCCCGGTCTAGCAGCCAGGAGGGACTGAGGATCAAGTGAGTATATCTTCTTTATTCCAGCTCCTAGACCAAAGCGAGCAGTTAAACCTTGCAGGCTGCTCTACAACACCGCGAGCTACGGCTACACGTTACCATTACCCTTGCCTGGCTTGTCATCATCCTGAACCATGTCCCCCGTCACCTGCGTCCATTTCCTGTTCCTACACAAAGCTCAGTGACTGCCTGCGAGCGCAGACTGACCCCCTTTTGTTTCCTGTGCCGGTTCTTTGTAGCCAGTGGGACCCCTGTTTTTCTTGTCCCATGGATGCGATGTTCCTGACCGTCCAGATGAAGGAGATGTAAATGTGTCCTGGCAGAGTGGAGATACAGGAAAACCACAATACAGTTTGCGTTATAATTTTGCAGGAACAACATCTCTTCTCATTGCTCCCTCCTATCTCGAAGGAAGGATTCTGCCGCACTGAAGACGGCCGATGGGGACTTCAAAGAACAATGGCTTTAAAATAATTCCGAAGCTTAGCTTTGTGCGCCCGCTCTCTTCCTGTTCCCCGCAGCAAAGGCGCTCTTTTGAAATCTTATTTCTATTCTTCTTTTCTTTTTCGCCTCATTTGAATATCACTTTTTTTTTTTCCCGGTCTCGTGTTTAACCCTTGTGCCAACAGGGATGAGCTCTGCCATCTTTTTTCTTGAAAGGAGAACTCCCAGACTTACCCTTGCAGTGGGGCTACCCCTGTATTGCAAAGGGTTAATTGCTCGTTTTGTCTAAGGTCTCAAATAAAGCAGATATACTCACCTGATCCTTGGTCCTGCTGGGCTACAAGACAAGTTCCTGCAGCCTCTTCTTCCCTGGACTCCGGAGGTCTAAGGACCACTGACGTCATCACATAGGTCCATTGGCTTTCAATAGATGTGAGAACGGAGAGGGACAGCTGGAGTGGAGGGGGCGAGAAGTGAGTGCCGACTACCGCAGGACCGGGGATCAGGTGAGTATTACTTTATTGGAGTCCCCTAGACAAAATGAGCACTTAAAGGAGAACTATGAGGTGAGTGAAAATCACCCATCCTCATAGTTCGAGCCGACGTGTGACAATGAGACTGTCACACGTCGGCTCAATAGATCGGGAAGTGAGCGAACACATACCGTCGCTCGCTCACTTCTCAATCATCTCCCTGCAGAGAGCGCTGACTGTCAGTCACTGATCCTCGCAGGGATTCCCCCCTCCCTGCTCCGATCCACCAACGCTGACTGGAGGAACGGGCGGATGCAGCACCAGCTGATCTATGTTAGGCCCCCATCCAAACAGGCGGTCCGAGTAGGTCCCCCTGGCAAATTTTCAGGTGGACCGGATTGGATGCTCAATGCTAGTCTGTGGGCAGCCTGGTGTACATGGACGGGCGTGTGTTCTGTTTCGCAAGACCTGATTGTGCTGGATCGGGGGTAAACTGATGTCGGTGTCACGTACCTGGAGTGAGACTGGGTGGAGTAGGTGGTGTCCCTTGCGTCCTATGTCCAACTTCCCAGGATATGAGGTCAAGGTAGCACTGGTGCCTGGATGGTGGGAGACCAGATGCAAGCGGGGT